TTTTTTTTTTTTTTTTGGTTTTGTGATTTTGGTGCTGGGGATTAAACCCAGGCTATGCTAGGCAAGTGTGCTCTACCACTAAGTTATATCCTGAGCCCCATCAGATTTTTTATATGCACATTCTCTTTAGTCTAACAAGCATACCACAAGGTTATAGCCTATAGGTATACTAGCAAGCATATTCCAAAATATTGTGGATAATCTCACTTAGTCATATTCTATAAAGAACTGGAAACATGAATATCCATTAACAGAGGACTAGGTAAATAAATTATAATTTAACCCATATGATACAGAAGACAAAAAGAGTGATATAGCCACACCTGACTATCTGAAAAGAACCAAGCTTCTATGTTGAACTAAAATATAATGCATACAGAAAGGTTTTATTTGTGTCAGTTAAAAATCATGATATATAAACTCTATAGGGATACTTAATATAGTCATTTGCACACGTGCACCTTGATTTACTGAATATATTCTCTGAAGTCCTAAAGCAATGGTATAAATATAACTTGTTATATGGGAAAATGTTCAGAATATAACACTGATTTTTTTAAGCTGGAAAATATGTATGCACAATATGCATCTGCAAAAGGGCTGAAGGATCCAGAACAATATATACCAAGGTGCTACCTGTAGTTCTCTCTGGGTAGGACTGTGGTGCTTTTAGTGTTCTTTTTCCCTGTCTGCTTTTTCTGTAATGATCAGGGAGGGCATTTGTGCCAAAGCAGCAGTGATACCACATTACAAAAAAGAAAGTTTTCATTGGAAAAGGAAAAAGAATAGGGTTCAGAGACAATCTGAGAGTGTAGACAAGTGAAGGCAGTGCCAAGTGGCCAGAGACTGAGGTGGGCAGGGGAGGCAGCTTGGAGCACACCTGCCTAAGGATCTGGATAAAGAGAAACCAAGTTAGAAGCTCTGGAAATGGTCTTCCTTCCTGAAAGTATATGCAGGTCTCAGCCAGGGGCTGATAATAACCCAAGGATTCCTGTCTTTCCAATCCTTACTCAGCTCTGAGGCTGTCCCAGGGCAAAAGATGAGGCTGGCAAGAAGGCTCTAGCACATACCCTGGGGGTGTGTGATTCTGCAGAACACTCTCCTCCCGGCCCCACTCCACTAAACCATGCTGGAAGTAGAGAAGGATGTATAATACCCATCACAAAAGAGAGAACAGGCCTAGCGTCACTCGGCTCCAAAGTGTTGGCTGGTCTGATTCTGGTTCTGGTACAGTGCCCTTGTGTATAACACTAGGCGTATATACACTCCTACACATACTGTGACACTAAGTACAAAATCTGCCTCAAGAAGTAGTGATAGCAGGGGGCACCAAATCCCATCTAAAGTCAGGCATGAAAAACCAAGAAAACGAAGCAGACCCCCATCAGTGCAAGTGAGTAAGCACAGATACTCATTTTCTACTTCCTTCTTGGTATTACTTTCACATCGTCTAATGTCTTTTCCTCATGGCCTCATCAACTTCTGCATTATCATTCCACCTTAAAAGCACGATCTCCCTGTTGTGCACAGCCAAGGACTACAAAGAAAACAACACAGGAGATAGGCACAAGCTCCACAGAAGGCTTTCATCACCGGGAGGAGGTTGCAGCCTGACAATCATATGGACTGAGCCAGAGAAAGCAGGAGAGCTCACTCATGCAGTGAGAAATGGGCTCCGTGTGTCCAGAAGGAAGCAGCCCAGCTGGAAGGGAAGGAGATACCCACACAGTGCTTCCCTGCCCCAAGATGACACACACACAGTGTCTAGCCAACAGCTGGGTATCTGTCTACACTGTCTATTGTTGGGATCTGGTGACGACTATGCCAGGGCTTCCAGGAACACACCTCAGATGGAAAATACCAACTCTAGCCAGCCATGCTCCTCAATTACTGGCTCAAAGGGCCACACTGTTATAAACATTGCCTATGGACTCAGATTTGTCCAGGTTTGAATTCTGCTTCGTCCCCACTAACTGTATGACCTCAAATTACTTCACTTCTGTGTTACTTGATTTTTTTCAGCTATTGTATGCATTAAATGAGATCATGCCCAGAAAATGCTTAGCATGGGGTGTGGCCCAAAGTAAGAGCTTATTAAACGTTAAGATAACCCATCAGGGGATCTACATACATGTTCTCACACACACACACACACACACACACACACACACACACACACACCAGGAGGCTGCCAGAACCCAATAGCTATGACGGCATCAGGACCAGGGGGCATCAAGACGGATCTGGTCCCAGATGCATTCTCTCCAATTACCCACACAGACAGGGAGGCGCCTCACCATTAGAAAGAGAAAGAGGCAAGGGGAGAAAACACAGATATTGAAAGTGGGTAAAGGCTGGCTAGAAGGCCTGGTAGCCTGTGTTAAAGGTAAGGGTTTGGCACATTCCCAAAACTTCAATCTTTATCAGCCCACTACAAAAAAAGGCATATATGCTGTATGTGCATAGGTGCACGGACAAGGTAGGCAGAAACAGACGGCTGGTGAGGGAGACAAGGAAGGAGACAGAGAACTCCTCGCATCTAATCCTTCTCCTTTTGCCACTACACCAGCACCACAGACGCTTGCATTAGCCAAGCTCTCCACTCATGTCAAAGCAAAGCCTGAGAACATCCCTCAAGAAAGCGGCCTTTTCACAGGGTAGACTAAGGAATGCTCGCTTGCGGGGGGGTGCCCTTTACAAAGTGTACACAGTAGGAACATGCAGGGAGAGCTAAGCACAAGAGGGACCACAAAAAGCAGGAAAGTCAAGGTTCAGAGCTAGCATGAACCCACAGGATCCAGGACTGGGGCCGAGATGTGACCTTCACACACGCCATCATCACTTCACCATCTGAACAACTGGTTGCCATGTGCGTCCTCAATGGCAAACCTCAAAAAGTAAGGAGGATCCATGCAGGCTCTAAGGTCGGAGCTTGAGAGAACAAAAGGACACCAAGAAACAGAGCAAACCCTTGCTGCCTGGTGGACTGGGAGGCTAATGCAGTAGAGAGAGCTGCAGGTGGGCAGCCACCAGGTCCTCAGTTTATTTCCAGACACTAGCTACACAGGAGTCAGAATAGAACAGCAGTCTAACAGTGTCTGTTTGCCAGGTGTGGTGGTGTATGCCTATAATCCCAGCACTCAGGAGGCTGAGGCAGGAGGATTGCTACAAGTTCAGGACCATCCTGAACTATAAAGCGAGACCCAATCTCAAAAAAATAGGTGTTTGTTTGCTCAGAAGGTAAAATGGGTTTGGGGGTGTTTTGTTTTTGTTTTGTAAAGGAAACAGGTACCCATGAGGGAATCTATCATTTAAAATGGCCAGACCCATTTCCTAGGTCACTGATAAGCTTTTGTTCCAGCTGAAATAAATAGCAACAAAGATTTCTGTCCTGCTAAACACTGTGGGATGAATATTCATATTCATCTCTACTCCCTCCCAAGACTCCATTAAAATACTAGGAATACAAGCCGTAGCAGGGAGTATGTCTCCCAGAAAAATAAAATGGAATTAATACATTATCAGGGAGAAGGATTATTCCACTGCATCTGACAAGAATTAGTGGCATGCAAAAGAAAAGCACAATTATTAGCTGCCATCCTGATTCTAAATATATATATTCTGATGAAAAGGCTAATTGTAATACTGTACAGGACGGAGCTCCATTGTGAGACTGATAGTAGGACACAAAATGAGCAGGTGAGAGTGTGTGTATGAAGGAAAGTGTGTGAAAGCCCAAGCACACTTTTCTGGAGAAGCCAGAAGATCATTGGTGTTGGTCCCAATGAATCAAAATTTAACAGCACGCACAGATTACTTAGACAAGTGGTGGAAGATGGCAGATGAAGTAGCTTTTAGCTGAATCAGAACTTGCATTTTAATTATTTTAGGACTGAAAGGAGTGGCCCTAGAAAACAAGACTTAGACTGGAAAGGAAGAGGATAGGGTTACTTGTTTCTTATTAGAAGCCTGGTGATAGTGCTTGACTTTTGTTTATAGAACACTTTGACCAAAACAAAAATTGTCTTCAACAACAAAGAATATCTATTTCAACACCTAACTCAACTTGCTTCTCCACCCCTCAAGACTTCTCAGTTCTCTTTTCTCTACCTAGCGATTAATCACATTTCACTGGCAATGAGCTAGACCTGGCTATTGTTAATTATCTTTACACCTGTGCCTTGTCTCCCTAAGTCATAGCTACTTCACAGCAGAGACCACCTCTTATCATTGAGGAGTCCACAGCAGACCAGGCAGATTTACTGACAAGTTCGCAGGAGGAACAGCAGCCCGCTTCCCCATTACCTGCATAGGCATTGGCCTGCTGCAGAAGGTCGGTGCAGGTGTGCACGTCTGCAAAGGCGCGGATGCCCAGGCAATTGGTGGGATGCAACTGAGACTGCAAGAAGTCACAGCAGTTCTGCCTGACATCCATGAGCTGCAGCAAGCTGGCCGCTGGGAGCAGCACCTGCAAGAGAAATGACATTCTAAACTGCTGGACAGGGACTCATCCCCTTAACACCCTATTCCAACCATGTTTATTGTCTGTTCTTGGCTTTCACTACCTACCCAGTAAATTTAAATTTCCCAGCTTGCTTTCTAGCCTTATTTCCCCCCAACTCTCCGCTTCATGGACACAAGCACCAGCAGATTCTTTGTGCTTCCCTTGGTGATCTTAATCCCTGGGGATCTTATTAAAAGGCAGATTCTGATCCCATAGGTCTAGGCTAGGCCTGAGGACCAGATATCTATGGAGAACTCAGGTGATATTTGAAGCCACTGATCCCTGAGCCACACTTTACACAGCGAAACCCTGCCCACATGCACATGTACACACACAGACGCACCCTAGCATGGGCTCCTATACTTGGTTGCATGTTGGAGTCACCTCAAATGTTCTGATACTGACGCCTAGATGTCACCCCTGAAGAGTCTTATAGGTATGGTGTATAGCCTGAGCAGTGGGTGTTTTTAAAGCCCCCCAGATTGCTTGTAATGATCATCCAAGTTTGAGAACTGCTGCCTGACAGCCTTTTTGTGTGCTGTTTTCACTCAGAAAGATACTTAATCGAGTTGCTCCCTAGCTCGTTTACAACTTAATTGCTGAGGGTCTATGTGCCAGGCACTGCTCTAGGCTCTGAGACTCAGTTGGAAGCAAAATAAACAAAATGCTCCTTTCATGGAGCTTAGAGTCTATCAGAAATAAAGAGACTCCTCTCAAATACTTTGGGACTCAGGCAGGCACATTTTATTTCCTTGCCCAACAAATACAAAGTAAAGAACATCTCTGGGTACATTTTCAGAGAAAGGAGAGCAAAGTTTTCTTTGAAAAGGTCATGGGCCACATGAGTATTTATCCTGCATTCTGGAAGACAGAAATAGTTCTTGAGCAGGTGTGTGTGCGTGCATTTTTCCTGAGAGCCAGGGAAGACTGGCTTGGGCAGGCCAGCTGGGTGCTCAGACTGCCAACCCCTGTCAGGTTTCCTCAGGACTTTCTCTTTGCTGCTGAAACCTGCTCTTAAGGTCAAAAAACACAGAACGACAGCCAAAGCCCTACTCCCCTCCAGCTCCGATACCCCATATAAGGATTATGGAGTCAGAATGGTTTTCTAAAAAGAAATTTGGGGGAAAAAATCATGGAGTAGAACAGTAAGATTTAAGGCTAATATTTAAGTAAGACTGAAGATCCCAGCATGCATTTACCCCCAAACAATCCCACTGACTCAAGCCTTTCTCTCAGCTGCTCCCCTCACTCACAGAGAGACCCCAGCTGTTCCTATCCACATGGGTTTGTCCAGGAAGACCTGTAGACACATTCAGTTTCATTTGGGGCACTACAAAAGTCTTTTTTTTTTTTTTCTAATGATTTACTTGGTTTGGGGTTTTGGTTTTGGTTTGTTTGAGACAGGGTCTCACTCTGTAGTTGAGACTGACCTAGAACTCACTATGTAGCTCATGCTGGTCTTGGACTCACAGCAATCCTCCTGCCTCAGCCTCCCGACTGCTGGGATTACAGGAGTGCGCCACCATGCCTGGCTTTTTCTAATGGTTTAAATTCTAGACCTTGACCTTGCCCAAAACAGCTCTCAGCCCTTAACTCTGACTCTCACTGTATCTGTGGGTTCAGGCCAAAAACTGTGCATCGCTGCCCATGCTTGAGCTTTGTCTTTGCACTAGTAACAAACTATCCTGGTTTGCCTAGGACCGAGGAGTTTCCCAGGACTTTCTGTACTAAAACTGGGACATCTTTAATAACCCTACGTACGTGCGGTAACCATCAAGACCCCCTCTATCAGTGGGCATACTCCGAGTATATCTACTTTCATCAAAGAGAGATCTACCTACCAGCTTATACTTCTCCCTCACAGCAGCTGAGCTCTAGAAAACCTAGTATTCCTCCCTTCCTCTGCGCTCTCTTTCACTCACCCCTGTCCCCAGCAAGATGGCAGTAAATCATTACCATGTCCTTGGTATTTTTTGGCCCACTGATGCATTCCCGAAGAATACAACGATAAAAATCACCCTCGCCTGAGAGTTGCAGACCATAGGTGACACAGCCAGGGTCCAAATCTAACCACCTGAGCTCTGTCCCCACTAGGCAGCCACCATCCTCACTCAACAGCCATAAACTGGGAAAGTCAATTACCCTGTGAGCTTGCTCAGCCTAGCCAAATAGATTCCAGGACCAGATTAGTCTCTGAAGCTATTTAAGTGTAGATCCATTAACCATTCTTGCTGAATACACACCAGGAATGGAAAGCTCTGCTCCCAGTCCCCAGATGACCTTCATGGCGCCTCCCTGGTCAACCCCAGCTACAAAGCCTGAACTAAGAACCATAGGTTGACCGATCAGCCTGTGTTTCTGAACCTTGCCAGTTTTAGCAGAAATCTCACATCCCAGGAGACCCCTCAGATCAGGCAAACTGGGACGCTTACTTGCTCTGTGCTGGAGTTACCTCTGAACAGTAACTCCCAGGTTGTACTTCTGGCCAAGTCTCAGCAAGACCGCACTCTCTTTTCCTCACCAAGAAGACAGCAGCATGGCCTGGGGCTTACATTCTCAAGCTCACTACAACCAGCCAGAAAAGTATAATAATAAATGTTTCTTGAACATATTCCTTATATAACACTTTCATTTTTAGAACTTCCCTGGACAGAGCTATCCATTTAGCTTTCAACTTCCCTACGTTCACTTAGTAGACAAAACTTGGGAGACTTTCCACCTTTCCACACCCCTCATTCTGTTTGGGTCCAATCCTGCCCCCAGAGCATTCCCAAATTGCCTTTCTAAACTGAAGAGGGCTTTTGGTTTCTCTAATCGCTTTTTCCATCTCTTTGATCTTACACCGAGATAGCTGTGTGAGTCAAAGGTCCTCTTCTTCGCTCTACTTGCTACATATGAGAGAGCATGAAGAAAAGTCAAGGAAGTTAGCATGCTGAGGAGGACAATTTGGGGGCTGGAATATAGGTCACTGCTCAGACGATGCATCTCAGGAATTAGATGGGGTCCAATTCGATGGAGCAGTAAGGTCTGGATCCAAGTACAGAACAAATCCCCATGGAGCAAACACACTCAGGAGATGACTGTCTTCGTTCCCTCTCCCCTCATCAGCGGGGCTTTGCGAGGACTTGACGTTATTTTCTCTTGTTGCAAACTACTCTTTCAAGTGGCAGCAGGAACAAGATTCCAATCAGGTGGCCATGAGCGGCCCTCAGCTTCAAAATGATACTGTCCTGGTAGCGTCACCAGGGCAGACTGTGTGGACCCTGAAGGGAGGGAGGAGGCTGAGAACAGAGGAGCAGCTGGCAGGGACTTCCATTCCAATAGAATGGAAGATCACTGTAAAAAAAAAACCTTCCACCTTGCCTGTTACCCCTTGGAAGACAGGCCCTGCATTGGCCTTCTCGGCAGAGTTGTAGTCTCCTCTTCAGCTTGCAAATGGTCAGTCCTCCTTTTTTTTCATGGCAGGCCCTTTTTGTTTTTTTACCTCCCCTCAGATAAAATGAAAACACAGCAGAGGATATCCCGTCACAGAGTTTGTTTCCTTTAGCAAAAACAAAAGGAAATGCCCTGCCTCAGAAAGCACCTACTCCTGGACCTCCAGGGAGAGAGGGCCAGGCTCCTAGGGAGGCACCAGCCAGAGTGCCAGGTGACAGGGTCTGCGCCCCACCTACACGGCTGGCTGGCACAGAAACAGTGCTAAATTAAATCCCACTGAGAGAAAGAAGACAGAACAGAAAACAGACACTTTTGTATAGATGAACAGGGAAGCCAGCAGAATGGCTCTGAGATTACAAGTATCATTTTTCATTTTGGCTTCACTTTCCAGCCATGTGACTGAGGACAAATGGCTTAACCTCTGTGCACCTCTGTCTCCTACACTGTAAAATGAGGACAGTCACGGTACTGCTCTCAAGGCTTGTGTGGATCCAATGAGGAAATACATTTAAAGCAGTGAACACAGTGCTTGGTACACAGAGAGTGCTCAGTGAAGGTCAATGTCAGTTTCCATTACGATTAGTCACGAGGAGCTGAAGCCAAGGTTCTGATCATTCACGTAACAGGAAACCAGAGTTCGCCACAGAGGCAGAGTTGGGACAGAACCAGACTCAGCTCCCCCACACCACCATTTACACTCTGTGACTGCGGCAGGTTACTTTCCCTTTTTGATCAGCAGTTTCTCTAACTGTGAAAGAGGGATCTCAGTCATTGTGTTGGGTGGTTACGAGAATTAAGTAGTACACAAGCAGTCACTGGCACATGCCTGGCTAAAATCAGGATCAGTGAGTGTCAGAATTGCTATTACTTCCACCATCGGAGGGCAACTCAGGATGACTCCCAGAGAACAAGGTATAGCTCTCATGATCATTAAACAAAGCCTTGATCTCTGGCTCCGGAGAGCCCCTGTGCCAGCCTCCAGTTCATCTTCTTAGTGCACTAACTCTTCAGCAAACAGTCTTCATAGATAGCACATGAGCAGCTGCCTCGGCAGACAAGAAATACAGCAAAAAATGTATATTGTAATCTAAATTCATCTTCACAAGCTTTTTCTTGTTCTGTTTCCCCCAAGATCATCCTGACCTAAGCACAGCTGAGAGTGAGGAGGAAGAAGGAAAAGCGTAGTCAGTTTACCGCACCGATTCCACTTAACGATAGTTCCCTCAGGATCCCACATGGTGTCTCTTGGCAGAACCACTGCACCTGCCAGCACAGTGACTCCACACACACAGATGAAGACAGTAGGCCCCCAGAGAGGCTCACAGATCAGTGGGGACCTACGTAGTGAGCAGAGGGGGCAGCCTGACCACCCCGCCACCCTCTAAGATTAGACCCAATCATGTGGCATTTGCTCACTGAGCTCTGCTGTGACTGTCTTCACCAAGTAAGCAATGACTGTTTTCTGCTTCCTGGGCACCTCCCCCCAGCCCCACCACACTAAGATACCCACTTGCTTAGCCATCTGTCTCCACCTTCGGGCCAGCTGCTTCTTGAGGAAACAGCCTGTCACAGCACCCTCTTTGGCCATACTGTCTGTTAGTACCAAGGAGGAGCACAGGGAAATGTGTGCTGAATGAGGGATTGAATGAGTAGGACAAGACTACACACAGTCTACCATGAGGAAGGAGGAGAGACTTGGCAACCCCTGAGCCAGTGCCTCCTGGATCGTGCTTTCCCCTCCATCCGGCTACTTAACAGAACTCTTAAAGGGACCTCTCTTCAGAGCAACAGCTGTCACCCACCGCAGGTCTCTGGTCTTACCAAACACCCAGGCATACCCAGGGCAGGATGTATCCCAAACGGTCCTCTACTTGGGAGAATCACCAGCTGCTTCCAGGCTTCAGTGGCTCAGTCCCTGCCCCACACCCCTTACTATGGATCCTAATCCCTATCTAGATCCTTCCCTTCAGTTCCCATCAGCGTCCAGGCAGAGGAGAAAACCTGGAAAAACCTTCCACAAATACATGATTCCATTGCCACCTCCCCACTTTAGGTAATAACCAACACTTTGGTTTACCATGTGCCAGGCATCACTTGAAGCACTTCAGCTACCTTAATACATTTCATCTAACGATCAGTTTAAATGGTATTATTATGCCCGTAGAGAATAAAACAGAGGGTTAAGTGCAATAACTTGCCAAGACCACTTAACCAGAAAGTGGAGAAGCCAGGATTCAAACACGGACAGTCTACAACTCATTAACTACCCAGTAGAATGGGTACTATCGTAATTCCTGCTTTACAGGTCAGAAAAACAAGCCTTGAGGCATGATGTCAATGGGGGTACTGGAGAAGCTCTGGGAGGAGGAAGAGAAACAAACGGGAGGCAAACAGCATGAATGCCATCTCTGGTCAGAGGCCAGCGTCCCAGGCCCTCATTTTACAGAGGGAAAAGTGACATCTTCAACTACCTCCCTTTATGGGGCAAGATACTGATGCAGTCTTTTGGGGGAAGCACTGCCTTCAATGGCTTTTCTTTTCTTTTCAAGGTTCTAGATGGCCAATGACAAGGTGGAACTAAAAGAGAGAGAAGGCATAGACGACACATTTCACAACTACATGCTCCTGATGCGTGGCAGTTCTATGCACTCAGAGGCAGTTGGATGATTAACATTGAAACAAGAAAAATGTTAACAGCCTCTCAACCCAATACTCAAACCCTTAAGACAAACGACGACCCTGAGCAAGGACAGATCACCTAACTGTCTGGTTCCTCCATCACAAGACACTCAACTGACATGAGTTCTAGACTTGCCACTCCTGCACTCAAGTTCATCAGGGACATTACTGCCTAGTGGTTGAGGACACGGGTACCTGAGCAGGAATGTAGGGACCAGCTGGCTCAGCAACCGGCCACTAATCCCGGAGAAGCCACCTAACTTCCCTAGAGTTTACCTTCCTTTTTAGTGACCACTGGCTGTTGTGAGGATTAAATGAAGTAATACCCAAAACAAACAAACAAACAAAAAAGCAGTACGCTGAATTATTGCCAGGCTGCATTTACCTGCACATTCTCTTCAGTCACCTCAATTTCAGCAGTGTAGATGTAGTCAATCAGCTTACTGAGTGTTTGCCCATCCACATCTTTGATTTCAATCTTCTTGGCTTTACTCTCAGACATGTCACCTGGAGTTCACAACAAAAAACAAAAACAAAATATGAATTTGGTGCCTAGGGTATGCTTAACTTCTCCTGCATGACCTCCTGCCTTGTCTTAGAAACAAAAAATACTGCCTGTGCTCTGGGAAGCAGTAGAAGGGACGCAGAGGAAGCCAGCTGACAACAAGGTCACGCCAACTGTGAATGTCTGGTCACCCAAAAACACAATCTTCAGCATTCCCTACTCTGTCTGCTGCCCGTTTTCATTCTGAAGGCAAAGTGACATGGCAATACTCCACTCAACCAACATTCTCTACAGACGTCTAGGAATAGCGAACGTCTGCAAATGTCCTCAAAGAACACAGGTCTAGTAAGACATACATAAAAATATTTATAAATGAAGTAACAAGAATCTAGTAAAGTATGCATGAAGTATCACAGAAATCAGAAAAAACATTTTTTGAGTACAAACTAAGACCAAACACTTTGTTATTGCCCTTTTCAATCCTACCAATGAGTTTATTAATATTATTCTCAAGGATTAGAGATGTTTTTTGTTTTGTTTTGTTTTGGTACCGGGGATTGAACTTGGGTCCTTGTGCTTGCAAGGCAGGCCACTGAACCGCTGAGCTAAATCCCCAGCCCAAGGATTAGAGATGTTTTAAAGCACTTGCCTAGCATAAGCAAGGCCCTGGATTCAACCCCCAGCTCAAGAAAATTTTATGTGTAAATGGCAGGGGGCAGAGAGCAGCAAGTAATTCATCTTGTCCTCATTTTGCATCCAAGGAGGAGCCAAGTTTGGGTAAAATCCAGGGAGTCCAATTCTAGAGTGCATATCTGTAACCACTGCGCTATTCTAAAACACAGAGGATGGGGCAAAGAAACTCTACCTGGGAACTCCCATGAGGGGTCCTAGTAGAAGGTCACTTTTGAGCTGAACCCTAGAGGATGAAGAGGGATTCCTCAGGAAGCAAAGATGCGGAAGGATTGGCTGGAGGTGTGTTCTGTAAGAGTAAAGTGAGGGGCCAGGGATTTAGCTCGGTAGTTCTGCGCTTGCCTCGCAAGCACAAGGTCCTGAGTTCAATCCCCAGCACCACCAAAAAAAAAAAAAAAAAAAAAAAAAGTAAAGGAGGAAAGTGCCTATAGGGTAGAGTTAGGGAATAGCAAGAGACTGGCTTTAAACAGGGTGTAGTGCAAGGAACCAGAAGATGAAGAGCTGAACGGGGCCAGGACTTGCAGATCTATGCAAGTGGTACAAACAAACTTAGACTTTATCCAGACAGTAACACCACTGAGTAGTTTTAAACAAGGAATGACATCAACAAATGGGTATTTTTTTTTTTTAATGACATTTTGGGTGCAGGTTGGAAGTTGGATCAGAGGTAGGGAAAACAGTTGGGAAGCCCAGATAACAATCCAGGAAAAAGAGGATGAAGGGCTGTGAATGAGGGCAGCAGCAGCATCTCATTTCCAGTCCTCAGTCCTCTGACTTCTGCCTCCACTCTTCAGGCAATCCACGGGGTTACCTGGAATCAGGGTCTTTCAGCAAAAGCAGCTGATTTCGGAAAGAAGGGAAGACAGTCAACACATGTGTCTTTGTAGAGTGAACTAAAGGGTAGCCCATCTATAAGAAACAAGGCATTCAGAAGCCCTGATGTGAGTGTGAGAACAGAGCCTGGGTGGTTGTTTTCTTTCTGCGGAATTCATGTGCTAGAGCCAAGAAAATAAAGTACAGTACAGTGTGTAGGCTGCAAGCGCCCACCTTCAAGCTGCATGGACTGCACAATTCCACCATGAATCCTCTTCTCCTGATACAGTTCTAGATCTGAATGACTCTGGAAATTTTTCAAAACCCTGACTGTTTTCTTCATTTTCAGGCCAGGTAAACCAGAGCCTTCCACTCTGTTCTACCTCCTCTGACTACTATGGAGACCAGTGAAAAGGTCCCAGGTCACAGAGCCCTGTGGCAGGGAAAAGAGGCATAAAGGAAACAGGAAAAGGGAGTGCATTCCTCCTCTACCCATAAAGTAGGCTCTTACAGTCTCTTTTATGTGGAGACACATAAAAGCAATATAGACAAGAAAACCAGAGTTAAATTTCTGTTTCCAAACAGGTATTAAGTTCATTAAGTGTCCACTTGATAATTATACTGCAAAGGATAATCAAAGATGGTCGGTTCTTAGTTTAAGAACTTAACCCTTAAAAAAAAAACTGAAAAAGGAGCATCCTGACTGCAAGAACCAAGAGGTTCATTCTGCTGCCCTCCCACGAGAGTGCATTTGGAGCCTGGCCTGATGGTTTGTCTGCGGAATTTGCACTCCAGAGTCAGGTTATGCTTTTATAACTTTGGATAAATTAATGAAAGCTCCTGAAGTTATATTTGTGTCTGTGTGTGTGTGTACAAATACACACACACAAACTCACACACACCTTGGTTCACAAACTTGATTCTTTCCACAATTCTGGTCGCAAACCAAGTTGAATGAGAACTGAATCAAATTCAATAGTTAGGTTTAATGTTGATCTTATAGGGAAATTTGATTTGGTCCTTGTCCAATTTGGTTTGTGACCAGAATCATGGAGAGAACTGAGTTCCTCAATTGTGTATATGAAAAAGTTCAGACTTTCTGGGAGGACGATCCAGCAGTATACGTTTCTATGATCCACAAAAGGTTAACACATGGTTTTCCAGACAGAACTCGGAGGTATGTTTTTTTTTTGCTCTGTTGCAAAGCTGAAATTTCTAATTTTCAACATTAAGTAGCTAAAATTTCACTTAGCCAAAAAAAAAAAATGTGAAAGAAAAACTAGAGAATTGAAAGCAATAATGATTTTCTAAGAATGCTCCCTTGTACTATATTCGAGATCTGTATAAAAGGAGGGGGCAAGGAGAAGGGAAAGAAGTGAAAGGGGAAAAAAATGGAAGAAAAACTAGAAACAAAACTTTTGTAAATGAGGTGTGGAGGCGGGGTTGAAGGGTGGCGAGCAGCACAGGGAAAAGAAAGGATTAAGATATATTATGTACAGGTATAGATTCCCTATGATATGATGATCAATATGTGATCAATATGTATAACAAATAGAAACTAAAAAAAAATCAAGTTTTAAAAAAAGAAGCAGGGCTGAGATTTGAAACTTGGCCTAACTCTAGACCCTGAGCCATATTTAATAAATCCTTCTATAATTTAAAGCAGACCCTGACCAAAGATCTTGATTAAAATATTCCAAAATTCAAAGCATTGGTCCAAATTCTGAGGACAAGTTAGGACTTTATACTCAGCAAGCAAGAACCAAGGGGTAGGGACCTTGTCAAATTTATTATCAAGATATCCTCAGGCCGGGGATTTAGCTCAGTGGTTCTGGTTCCTGCCTCACAAGCAGAAGGACCCAAGTTCGATCCCTGGTACCAAAAAAAAAAGATATCCTCAACATGTATCAAAGCGCTTGGCATAAAAACATGTGTCAGAGTGAGGAAAAGAGAAAAGGTGCTTTGTTTTGTTTTGTTTTGTTTTTGACATCTCATAATTCCATGAGCTTCTAATAAATCCTGAGAGGTAGAAACTATTAAGGGCTTAGGACTTATTCTTTTAGCTTTTTTGTTTGCTTTGTTGTTGTTCTTGCTGCTGCTGCTGCTGCTTCTGCTGCTGCTGCTGCTGCTGCTGTTGTTGTTAGACAGGGGTCTCACAGTTCAAGGCTGGCCTTGAACTCACTATGCAGCTCAGGCTGGCCTTCAACTCACAGCAATCCTCCTGCCTCAGCCTCCTGAGTGCTGGAATTATAGGCGTGCTCCACCACACCTGGGAATTTACTCACCTTTGCTCCTTCACTCACCTCTAGTAGTCTGACAAAGTATTTCCAGAAACAGAACATGAGTGCACTGAGTTTCCCCATCTCAAGATCAAGCCAAGACACTTCCTAGCTAACTTTTTCCCAAGAAGCCTAACCAGCCACCTCAGGATCTAAGCATTCAGAAAATATCCACCAGTTGCATATCTTTTTAGCCCTTTCCATCTTTTGCTTGTCTTCTAACAAGCATATCCTATTTCTCCAAACAGAAAATGATACAATGGTGGCAGATATTTGTGCATTTGTTCCTCCAATATATATCAAAAGGTGTCCTATGTGCTAAACACAGTGCGAAACCCAAAGGATGTAACAGTGGACAAGTCATCTCCCTGCCTTCATGCAGCTCAGGCTGGTGGACAAAGAAAAATAAATCAACAATTGCAAAGAAGATAAATGCCACAAAAGGGAACCCTATTTGAAAAAGTCTTAAGCCAGGGACTCCTACAACCTAAATATGTTTTCAAAATTCTGAGTGCACAAGAGAACCTATTTGCTTTTCTGGGAATACAGTAAGTCCCTGACTTATGAACATTTGAATTGTGAACTTCCACAGTTGTACCATATAAGGTACACAGATGTACTGTGTAAGACTTGCTTTGTCAGATTATGGAGGAATCTGACTTACGAATGTTCTCCCAGAATGGAGCTCGTTCGCAAGTCAGGGACTCACTGTACAGTCCATTATTCTCATCAGACTGATTCATAATGGTTAAGAACCACTGATATTCAGATGTGAAGATGAGAAAACAGTAGTGGGAAGAAGAACAGAATATGAAAAGATCAAGAGGTATGAAAGAGTATCTGGGAACCACAAGGAATTCAGCCTGGCTATACCACAGCATGCAAAAACAGGACTAATGAGACAGGGCTGGAGATAAAAGCAGAGCCTGGACCCACGAAGGCCTTGCAGGCCATTCAGAGGAGTTCAGACTTCATCCTGACTGCAATGGGAAATCCCTGGCTGGTTTTAAGGGGGTTAAAGACACATCAAATTTTCATTTGTGGAAGAAAAGAGTAACTACAGTGTGGATAATGGCTGGGGAGGGGAGAGGACAAATCAGGAGAGACGTTGACCGATTAGAAAGTCACTGTAGAATATAAGGGAAAGATGTTGGTAACCTGGACTAAGGGACCATGTTTTGAATTTCTTTAAATCCTCAGACTCCACCCCGGGGCCTGTA